AACAAATTTACCGTATGCCGAAACCATACCACGACCACCACATCTATATATAACTGCCAGTCTGTCACTTCTCACAAAACCACATCCACACACAAGCATTAAGGATCCAGAAATGAATTTGATTAAATTCAAGCAAGAGTAATAGTAGAATTTGGTATATATACATATGTAACCATTTGATTATGAATTAACCTACTTATAGAATAAAGCCTACCACCAACACTATCCCAACCTTATACAACAATTGTCAGACCACCAAGAACATGCCATTAGCCTGCTAACTCCAATCACTTGGGTGACTATTACTCCCCCAACCATCACAATAACAACACTGTTCGCATCACATCTCACAATCACTTGCAAGTCTTACAACTACCTTTGTGGCCAACTGCATCAACCCATCCAGTATATAAACACCACTAGTCTTCCTCTAATTGATACTTCTCTCAATAGAAGTGACAGATACAGGACATCATCCCAAAATCTATGATGATGGTGACAATGATAATACAAAAGCAGAACAATAGATGCAGACATCCAAAAGAAAAAGGAAACTGGAGGTCAAGAGCCAACCTTGCGCTAAGAAATCAGAAGTGAGAAGAAATTACACCAAGTAGCAACATTGAAGTATGATTTATAAGATTAAGCTATACCCTTTTTGCGATAAAGCAGATTTATTTTTTCTTTTCTTCTTGCCCTGAGAGGCAGCTTATTTTTGTCACTCCTACATACCTTGATATTCTCAACGCAAATTAAACTTGTGCACTTTTTTTTTTTTGTGAGGGGGAGGGGAATAGGATTAAATACTTGTGTGCTAATTTGACATGTATCAGCCATAAATTTAATATCCATAAAGATATCCTATTAACAGTGCATAAGATGAACGCCAAATTACATTTTGATATAATATCATGGCTCACACTTGTATAGCCAAAGTAGCTTGCAAGTCCTTCACAGTAGAACAATTATCAGTAAGCTGACTGACACACTTGCACAGAATGTTTACAGATATATGCCAAACCAAAAGTACAATCGCCTAATGAGACAATATTCTAGGTTCAATTTACCCATGAAACTTGAAACCTACAACCATTATTTAAGAAAAAAATCCACCCCTTTCTCTAGGTTGGAACCAGCAACCAAACACAGAGACTTGACGATGACAAAACCACAAAAAGAACAAACCATGTAAGTACATCTACAAACAAAAAAATGAAGGTTTTCCTTTTCTTTTGTGGTGCAAAGGAAAAAAACAAAAGAGAGAGGGGAGGGTGGGGGATTGAAAGAAGAGGGGAACATGAAAATGAAATTAGAAAAAGAAAAAAAGGAAAACAGTTTCAAGGAAAAAGCTCGCCGAAGACCTTAGCCATCCAAAATCAATTACAGGGCAGGTCAAAATGTGCATGCAATTTCCATGTAAGTACATATATACATGTAATCTAGCAGTGAAAAATACATTGGAGCTGAAATTTTACGACGAATTAAATATCTTTTTTCTTTCATTATTATCAAGTAGAATGAATTATCCAAGTATTTTCTGCCAACCTTAACCCTAGTTTGTAGGGGTTGCCTAATAGTTACCTCTCTTAGACCCGCTATAAGCGAAAGTCTTGTGCCCCAAGAATGAGATATTTTTATTTTCTTCTTTTTTTGTTTGTTATTATCACTCAAAATGAACACTATGCAAGGATTTTTTGACTCTTGGTTTCACAATAAACCCAAGTCATAATAAACATGGCTCACAATTGAAGAGTAAAAAGGTGAAAAAGGCTCAAGGAACAACTGAAATAACTATAATAAAGTTATATTGAACGACACCATACAAAATCATGATGACAATTTTTCTCCTTTTCTTTCTTATTTTTCTATTTGCTTTCTCCGAGGGGGAGTTCCAGTGACTTTTAAACCAAACATAAGTTACATGAACTCGTTTCTTGGCCTCGCTGTACCCAAAAAATTGAAGAAGATTACCAACTTTTGACTAAGTTCATTTATTTTATTGCAGACATCCAGAATGCACATCAGGGAAGAAAAAAACAAAATGAGAATAAAATAAGAAACAGACAAAAATCGGGGGGAGGGGGGGAAGATAAAATGTTTGGCACAATGCCACAGCACGTTGGCACTAGCGTCCAGCAATGAACCCAGGATATAAATCACCAACAGAGACATATAAACAAAAACATCTAAAGCTACATCAACATGCTGGTGAAACTAAAAAAATAATAGCAAAAAACATTGTACAAGAATTCTGAAATGATTTGAAAACCCAAGGTATTCAAATCCCACCTGAGCAGGCTCCAGCGAGCTACCCAAACAAATTCCCTATACATATGACTGTATCCCGCGTTTGGGTAGTCATTAACTACCACTTGCAGTGACAAAAAATCTCAATGAACGACAAATAACTCATCTTGCACCTTTCCATGGCCTATACATTAGCATCCATTATGGAAACCATAGGCTGCCTTATTTTATTTTATTTTTTGAACAGTAGCTGCCTAATTTGATACACAAACATAATGTATGAAGATTCCACAAGTGAACAAGAAAAAGTTTTAAAAACAAATGAGATGAGGAAACTGGTTCAGGAGCTCTGTGGCTATAGTTTATAGCCAATGACCAAGTAAATAAGGTTAATTCAAGGAAAAGGCATTTACAACAGATCAGTTATCCAACTTCAGATGGAAAATAGAACTTTCGATGAACAGCACACAATCCGCCAGCTAAGATTATCATGCTGTTGAACACATTAACCTTATATAGACCCTGCAATTAGATGCCAATCCAAAACATCAATATCCCATGCCAGAATGACTATTTGTAGCAATTTCTCAATGGGAAAGAAGGAAGACAAAGGCACAAGTGACAGTACAAAACCCAAAAAGGCAGAAGAAGAAATCAACTTAGCCTCCTAATGAACGTATCCAAGCCTCAACCAGTTGGCAATTCGATTTGAGATTCAAACACCACTGCTCCAAATCCAAATAAGAGATTGGCACTCATACCCACATGAGATGTTCTTAGTTTCTACACAATATTCATAAAGTGGTTGTGTCGGCAGAAGAATAAATTATAGCAGAACTCAGATAGCAAGTAATGTCTAAGGAGGAGCAACACCAGGATTACTACAGTGAAATACACCAACAGAAACTTGGTGTGCACAATGAAGTGTGTTATATCCTGCTATGAAGAATTGCTCCAAAATCCAACTGATGAAACCGATAAAACAAATAATGAACTTTTAAACCATGGCCTCCAGTATTGTATCCCAAGTAACCAATAAAGAGTGGAACTGGATAACTTACCCTTCACTAACCAAGTTCAAAGCCAATTTCACCAAAACTGACTGTGAAACCCCTAATTTGCCAAGAATGGATGTCAGATGGGCATATGGATGCTGCACACCAAGCTCAAAATTTAAAGTTGTCAACATCATTTGCTCAGCTTCAATCACCCGTTCTCGATACTGCTCAAACCAGTCCTGTTCAATGGCAAACCATTTTCCAAAATTAGACATACAACCCAAGAAAATCATTTCAGTATATGGCTACTCCGATTAACTAGTAAGTATGGCCTTGTTGACACATTGCTAATGGGTCCTCAAAAGGGATTCAATGTCACATAGTTTAACATTTCAATCTAGGTGCACTGAAAAATTGCCATTTTGAATTTTGTTGAAGAAGGGCAGACATACTTTGATTTGATCATGACAATTAGGAAACCTGAATGCAGAATACATCTCTAATATTGGTTGTCCTATTAAAGATTTGGCATCTCACCACCAAAGAACCTTTACAGGTTGTGTGAAATTATAATTTCTTCCATCAAAAAACTTCAGACACAGCCATCCTGATCCTTACAGCACACTTATACTCCCTTCCGCCCTTTTTGTGCATTTGGAACCGAAACAGGTGAAGGGAAATGTGCAACCGTACATACACAGAGAGAGAGAGGGGGTGGAAAGGAAGAAATCCTGAAGATACTCACATCAGGGAGCAGAGAGGAGATAAGAGTTAGATTCTGTTTGTGGAGAATGTCACATGATGCGCTCAACACATTGTTCAAAGGACGTGGTGTCTCCTCAGACTTTGCAGCCAGGAATAGAGCAGCAGTAGCAATCAGCTGCAAAAAAATTGGATCAGCAATCATATAGGTTTCACATAGAAAAATCAACAAGTTATATCAAGCAAATATCTAGGAGGCAGGAGAAGAAACCAAGCAATATATCATTTATTCTTCCTTAGGGTCACAAAACATAACAATCTTCCCACACACACAGATAGACTAATGCACAAACCAACGTAACCAGAATGTCAAACAAAACACAAGATCAGTAAAAAAATGTTGTTTCATCTACATAAATCAGTTACATAATGGATAGATGCTCAGAAAGCAACTTTATATTAGTTCCTAGAAAGCAAGTTTCTATTACTCTGAGAAAAAGGTCATGCTGCAATAAAAAGAACAACCAGAGACAAATTGCATTTGAATGTGGTTTACAGTTAACATGATTTCACTTCTAAAGAAGAGCACAAATTTATGACAAAATCTGATCATCACATTCTTTTTATTGAATCCTCATTCACATCCTGAAAACTGCAGATTCTAAATAAAAGGAACTGGAAACTCACATATCTATCATGACAAACATGTGATCGTCGAACAAAAAAACGGTGGCACAGAACTATGGCGGTTCCAATGGTGGTTTGGGGCCTGCAAGTAAGTCCAAAAAGAATTCGTTTTCATAAGGCTAACGGTGCTCAAAATAAAACAACTTCCATTGATGGCTTTCAAATACAAAGGCTTACAGCTCAAGCCAAGCTCCAAGATTCTGAAGGAAAGAACAATATGAGTACCGCAAATGCATTTCATGCAATGCATCAATACCATCTTTCCTTGACGGAGAGTAATTTTCAATCTCATCCCTAGACATAAATAGCACCTCATCGTCATCCTCAAACTTTAAACGGTCACGCTTGCAGGTAGAAGACATGTTTCCATTGGCATAAGGCCTTGTAGTAGTGGTCAACACTGAACTGTTTTTACTGGTTGAAGGAGCATTATCATAAGTAAGGGGTTGTTGATATGTTCCCCCACTGTTTCCCCAATTGGAATTAGAAAACTTTCTCCTTTTCAAAGAAGGTTTGACTTCAGGCATAGAAAAGTTCAAATTGTAGTTATGCTCCCCAAAATTTCTTGAAAAATCATGAAAATTGTTATAATTCCACATAGAATTGTTATCTGAAACATAGTGGTGGTTTTTGGAAGCAGTGGCAGAAGTGTTAGTGTTGGTATGGTTGCTTATACTAAAAGAGGACGTATAGTCATCATGAAAAAGGCCACCTTGTGGACGGTAAGCCCGTGCAAGAGACATGGTTCCTGCAAAATTTCACAAAAAAAAAAAAAAACAAGATCACTAGGTTAAAAGTGACATCGAATATTAATTTGCACTTGACATAATTCATGGCGACAACGTAACTGCAGAAGTACAGACAAATCTAATAGGTTACATAAATAGCAAATTTCACCATCAATATGTGAAGCAGCCCAAATCAGAGGCGATGTAAAGACCATCGGAAAAGTTCTCTTCTTTTTTTGGTTGGTTTAATATTTCTGGCAAACTATTGAAAGGAAAGTCCAGATAAGAGTACTACAACAATGGGCAAGGCTGCTGTCCAACTATTGCTGCCACATACAAATAGAATTAACCATGTCAAACAAGCACGGCCATAACCTACAAAAAACAAAAAACGATGCTCCACTACACTGGTATCAGGATTTTCAAATCTCAAGCACGGTTTCCCGATTCATTATGTAATCGAACACAACCTAACAGAAAATTGATGTTCATATCACAAATTAAATTTCCCTGGAATCGAAACAGGCCAACAATCCCCAAAAATAAAAGACATAGATTGATATTGATATCACAAAATATATTTCTCGTGAATGGAAACAGGCCAAAAATCCACAAAAACAGACATAAAGACACAAGCCATGCATCTTCATAACCTGAAACAAGACAATTCAGTGCCCTGTTAATCAAAGTCTCACAGAAACAAAACCAAACACCAAGAAAGAGAGGAAAATAATCAATAATTACCTATTAGCAGAAACAACAACACAATATCCCAATTCAATTCACTAGATTATGGAATCCAAAACAACCTAACATAAAATTATATTCAAATCACAAATTAAATTTCCCAGGAATCCAAAAAGGTCAACAATCCCAAAAAAATAAAAAGACAAAAACTTTGCATCTTCATAACCCGAAACAAGAAAATCAGTGCCCTGTTAATCAATGTCTCAAAGAAACAAAACTAAACTCAAAAAAGAGAGGGAAAATTTAATAATTACCTATTAGCAAAGACAATAGATCTGATTAATCCGTAATCGATCGTCGGAATTGAAAAAGAGTTCAAGACAAGCTATCAAAATCGATTGTGGTTGGAATCAGGGTCGGAGAATGAAGACTCTCGAGAAGAAATTGGTGGAGAGAGGGATGAATATTTTAGAGTGTCCCTTAAAATATTTGATCTGTTGCAATTAAGTCATTGAACACACGAAACTTCACCTTAGATTAAACAGTAAATTTATACGAAATAGTTACATATTGAGTTGGATTGTATAATTGAAGAGTTGAAATTGATACAAAACTTAGTTTATATACTTAATTAATACAAGTGAAATAGTTCTAATAATTGAAGTGAAAACTATATAGTTTACTCAATATAATAATTGAAGACAAAGGGTGCTAATTTTTGTGAAGTGAAAACTTTAAGAGTGCAATTTCTTAAAATTTGAAAAGTTGAAGGAGTTAAATAAGAATACCCAAAAATAGAGAGCGTAATTTGTAACTAACCTAAGTTACAAATTATATACTTTAGGACGTGTTTGTTTTGAGTATAAAATTTATGTGATATAAAGTTTTATATTTATTCTATTCTAATTCAATAGTATATTATATTCAGTGATAAACTATAATCTCATAATTCTCCTTGTTTATTTATCACAAATATTATTTGTGTAATACCTACTTAAAAAAGTCAACAATTGCGGCTAACCAATGTAAAAGACAATTTTAACATTTAAAAAGTCAAAAATTACGACTAAGTTTTATATGGGAATTGTACCGAAGGGCATTTCGGTCTTTTTAATTTATAATATTTATACCAAGAATATAATACCACTCCCCTATGTGGTATTCATTAAGACCTTCTACATGGCATTATAGCTACTGTTCATAGCGGGTCGGTATTACGATCGAGAAAATAGTACAGACTATAAAATGTCAAATAAACAACGTATAAAATGGGTCTCACGTACTATTTTCTTAATACCACCTCCTTATATCATTCTAATACTCAAAACAAACGATTCCTTAGAGTTATCAGTAGATTATGTAGAGAGAGAGAGAGGGGGGAGAAGTAAAAAATACAAAAACAACAAAATTCCAAAAAATTATAAAATGAAAGTGATTTAAGAGCATCATATTATTTACATATAAACGTACAATCACTCATAAAAAATTAATAAAAATATAATTTAAAATGTTAAAGTTTGATGCATAACTAAGTGACATATTAATTAATTAGCAATCTCCCGTGACTAAATTCACTGAATTATAACACTGTACATGCATTGAAATGTGTGTTAGAGTGTGTGTATGTATGTGCAACTATGTGTTATGAAGTGTATGTGTTGAGTTTTTGAAATCTAGGGGGGAAAAAGTGTGTGTTGGGTATGTGAAATTTTGGGAGAAAAATATACCTAGGTCTGGCAATCGTGTCGAGTGGAACGGTTTCATGTCAGGTGAAATGAGTTTGTGTCAAAAAATTTTCAATTCATACTGATTAACCATAAAAAATGCTATTAAATTATATTTAATGATTGATTAATTGTATATTATTTGTAATTAAATGTATTAAATTTCTTGATTTTCTAGTTTAATACTTTTTCTAGTTATTTGATTTATTTTGTAGGTAAATTGGTTGATTTAAAGTAATAATGAATCATGCAAGTGAATCAATCACTAGAGTAAGAATGATACCTGAAAAGGATTGAAGAGTCAAGATTGAGATTGAAAGACTTGAAGATATGACAGCAATTTAGTTCTTATAAGAGTCAAAGTTGGAAGAAAACTCATTTAGAGTTGGATTAGGAAAGTGTCAAAGAAGAAAATGATTTGATACGTTTTCAGTATTTTGGTCATAATTTTTGACTCTAATATCCGATTTACTTGATTTTTTGAAGTTAAAAAGAAGACTTCAAGGGATACAAAAATGTATTTCATTAAATTTTCGTGATTCAACCTTTAAATATGCGAAATTCAAGCTCGAAGTCTGGACAGATTTTATACCCACGCCCTAAAGATTTTATGTATGGGGTTTAACCTTACAATACTTCCTTTTGGGAAAGAAATTCATTCCAAACCAACCTTATATCTTCTACCTATAATTAGAATTTATTTTTAGTATAAATAGGGGGTTCTCATTTAGAGATGATTATTATTTTTTCCATCTTTTTATTTTTGTTTTAGTTCGTTATGTTTGACTAGAAAGATAAGTTAGGACTAGAGGAAAACCTCTCAACGAAGTATGATACTGTTATTGACTCTGTGCTTAATGATTTATGATATTTTGTTAATTTAACTTCTGATTTTTTAGCAAAGTTTATATTCTGTAAAAATTCTTGAGTTGTTGTGCCTTGTATATCAATTGCTTGAATTTTTCTGCGAGTAAATAACTGATTATTCCATGCTTGAGATATTTATCATTATTTCATAAAATAATATACTTGGATGATTATTCAGGTTCCTGAATAATCTTTTGATTATAACTTTTGATTTTCTTACTTGATTTGTTACTCGAATCAACCGACATCTGATTTTTGTCTCAAGTTAATATTGGAGTCTTTAATCATTATTATATGGAATTGAAATGGAGTACTTGATACTCTAGTATTTTTATTATATTGTTTAAATATCTCCAATTAATATTTTCAACTCAACAATTTTTTTTACACAAATTGTTCTCTCAAATTTTCTTTGGTATTTCTGTAATTGCTTTTTGTTACAATTCTCTGTGGTTCGACCTCGGACTTCCAAGTATTATATTACTTCGCGACAACTTGGACTTGGGTGATCAATTATAAAGTTATATCACATACCTCATTCGTTTATATAAACGAGTCCAACTATTACACACATATACGAATTATTTATTAGACGGGTTATCCGACATAACCCGTGTGTCACCCGCTAAATAAGAGAATAAGTTAAAGTATTTCAAGTACACACAAAAATTTATCAACTTGCTACACATTACACATGTTTGACTTATTTACTATAACAATAAATCAAGGTTGAGCAAAAAAATAAAGACAAAAAATAAATATTAAATGACTACTAAATTTGAATGAGTGTAAGAGATGAGAGGTGTGAGATGAGACAGAGGCTCAGAGACTTAACTTTTTTAAAAAAAGTTTATAGTACAACTGTTAACGGGGTTGAAACGAGTTTATGGGTTAAATACGAAACCGGTTCATTTATTTTACGGGTCTGCCGAGTTAACCCGTTAACTACCCGAACCCGTTAAGACTACATCTAAACCCTCTAAGTCTGTGTCGGATTCGTGTCGGTTTCACGAGTTGTGTCTAGAATTGTCAGGCCTAAATATACCTCTCATAAGTTCAAATACCTATCTAATTTATTATATAGATGTTTTAATATATATTAATTATAGGATTCCAAAATGACAATTATCAATTATAAATATCATTCGTATTTATACATAAAATTAGGCGTGGATATGCACTTGTCAAATAAATATTTGATTAATAATGAGTAAACACATAATTAATTCATAACATGAACGGATGAATTCGTGAATTTTATTAAATGATTGTGTGAATACATGGACAATCCGCTCTCAAAGTACAAATTCACACCTAGAGCGTTGCGGCACTGTATGGTTCAACTGAATTATGTGACTCAAATTACCACAAAAATTTAATTGTATTAATCAAGCCTACGGTGGACATATCTATACTATTATAAAATATTAATAAAAGTGAAACAATTTTGATCGACCATAATACCCTCATAAAAAAAAATCAAAGACAACTATATTATTATGTATTTAATTATTCAATACCAATTAAATATCCAAATGACTCTTCATATACTTTCATTTCCACACAATATATATATATATATATATATATATATATATATATATATATATATATATATATATATATATATATATATATATATATATACACACTACTTCTAAAAGGCCACTAAGCCAAAAGACTTTTGATTACCATAATTATCCTTTAACATTTATTAAATATCCAAATTACCAATCACATGAATAAAATATATAACACTAATTGTCCATTGTACTGTGCATTTATTTCTTTCAAAAGTGTGGTGACTCTTCCATCTCTTCCTACATTTTTCACCAGCTTCCAAATTTTTTTCAGTATAATGAATTATTATTGTGAGAATTTAATTGCTACTCATAAGTTAGGGAGAAAGAAAGAATTAACTAAAGAGATCTGTTGTATTTCAGTAACCCAATAGCCGAAACCCTACATCTTCTAAATGTCCATTCATTTCTTCCTCAACCCTTTAAACTGTCGCCCTACTTTTCCCATTTAGTGTCTGACTTGCCCATCCACTTCATGGCTTACTATGTTTTCTTCATCTTCTTCACAACTTTGGTTCATATATTTTGTTGTCATCCCACAATATTCACTAACCGCTTTCTCTCCGAAATCCTATTCTATAGTACCCATCATCTCCTCAAACCCAATCTAATATAGGAAGAAAAACATGCGAGCAATGAAATGTTTATTTTCTTAAATTTTACATTCAATGTATTTTCTGCCTTGAGCAACAAGAAGAGAAAAACAATTCACCATGTGCATGTAACTTGAAAAAAAATTCTCGAGTTGGTGGCAAATTAACTTCTTTGTCATTTAAAAATGTAAGTGAACTCTTTGGACTAAGAAATATCTAAGACTGAATTTAGTTTGTAGTGATTATGACGTTGTATATGATGAGCCCAAAATCAATTGGGTCGGGCCCAATGAATCAAGAAGGCCCAAGTCACCAGGCCCAAAAGGAGACTAAGATGCCAACGCCCGAAGGGGCGCCGCCCAAGGGGGTCACCCAAGCCCTAGCGCATCCCAAGGGTTGGCCCTCCTGTCTCTCCTTTGCCCTCCTCCACTTTGCCACTCCGACTCAAGTTCAACCTAGTTCAGGATCCTCCTCCCCGACAGAATAGGAGCAAGATGAGAGAATATCGGGATATGCACGGAGATATAATTATACCTTAATTATACTTACCAAAATAGTAGTGACCACCTCACCTCACCGCTTCATCATGCCTATATAATGTAAGTCATCTCCACACAGAGAGCATGACTTTGAGATCTCTACAGTTTGAGATCCCTACACACTACACCTCCCTATACACATTGCTTCTCTATCCTAAAACATTGTAATACTCCTGGAGTTACTCTCCCGGTGACATTATTCATAAATAAAGATCTCCGACTACTGCCGTCGTTCTCGAGAGTGGAGTAGGTCACCCAGATCGAACTACTATAAATCTTGGTATTGATTCCTTATT